CCACTACCCCTTAGCCCTTGCCCACTACCCCTTAGCCCTTGCCCACTACCCCTAGCCCTTGTCCACTACCCCTTTGCCCTTGTCCACTACCCCTTAGCCCTTGCCCACTACCCCTTAGCCCTTGCCCACTACCCCTTAGCCCTTGCCCACTACCCCTAGCCCTTGTCCACTACCCCTTTGCCCTTGTCCACTACCCCTTAGCCCTTGCCCACTACCCCTTAGCCCTTGCCCACTACCCCTTAGCCCTTGCCCACTACCCCTAGCCCTTGTCCACTACTCCTTTGCCCTTGAAATGAAGCAACGAGGGGTAGGGGTTGAAATCTTTCCCTAGGAATTGGGACACCACTCACTACGTCACTGCATCGGTTACATTCACAAATACGTAACTATTTTAAACAAGAAACTGCGAGCCATCTACATTTCCAACCGGCATTTACAATGGAGTCTCCAGTTGAGTTCATCCTACCGATCGCGTTTGCTGTATTCATCATGCTTCGTTTGATGAACTAAAGACGACAGGGGACTTCTGCTAGCTAGCTAACCAGCTAACATTACGAGGCAGCATAGTTATACTAGCTGGTGTGTTATCGTAATGTGAAAAATCCGACAATTTTGCAGAACAGGACAGATGACAGACGCCAGATAGTGCGAGCTAGCTAGCTAGCTAACAAGCAACCTGACGACGGTAACGTTAGCTATGTATGAGCTTTTTTCACCGTCTCTTGCTCGGTGGTAGCCATGGCGATGTCTACCCCTCGCTGGTAAGTCAGCATCTGAAATCCCTCACTCCGAAGGGCTAGTTTCATACCCACTACCCCTCGTTATGCCCCCTACCCCTACACGCAAAAAGGAATTGGGACACCACTACCCCTTGCGGGAACGCACAAATGTAGGGGTAGGGCCAAGGGGTAGGGCCAAGGGGGGGGTATTGGGACGGGCCCTTAATTGTAACAGTGCTTTACTTAACTTTTTTATAACAATAATTTTTTTTAACTTAATCGCAACTTCTTTACTTAACTTGTTAACAGTACTTTGACTTTATGTTATTGTAGATAATTTAGTCGTTGAGTATTTTTAGTCTATAGAAGTTTAGTGGGGATTTTGCAGTATCAAGATATATATTGTTTATTGTGATATCACCGTATTATTTATAGGCGACATCACTCAGCACCAGCTCAGACCAAGAAGCTTGTAAAATTATTTTTTTATCCAGGTCAGAAACATCTCTAAGAAATGACTGCAGATTACTCTGATGATTAATTAATGATGATTGTGATGACTGAGATGCTGTCTCTGTCTCTGTCTCCTCAGATCAGCCGCTTCTTGGAGGTGAGTCAGTCTAAAGATCAAAAACATGTGCAGGAAGTGAGACGTGACTAAAACAGCTGTTTCCTGTTAGTGTTGTGCAGGTAATCAGAGATACACAGGTGAGTCTTCTCTCAGTTACATCACATGGTTCATGTGTTCGCTGTAACAAGCTCACAGGACGCTGTACTGTCATGAGACATGAATGAGATGGTGATGGACAGGTGTGTCTGTTCTCTGTGTCTCTCAGAGTACGGAGACATCAGCAGAGTGGACACAACAGGAGCTTCTGAACACCTAGCAAGAGCCAACGAGTCGCTGTGCAGAGGTCAGTTCATTCACACGGGCTGAACGTCACATCACTGAGCTCAGGACATTGTTACTATGGTGGCAGGACAGGATATTATGGTCTGTCATCCTTCCTGAGATAGTCTGTTGTTGTTTCAGGAGTTTCTGGAGTTAAAGCCTCCCAGAGGCTGGCAGAGAGAGATCTGCAGGAAATGCTGAAGTACAAAGAGACGATCAGCAACGTGGGAAACAAGTACGTCCCAACAGAGACCTCATCCACAGCACGCTGCCACAGCAACAACCGCTGCATCTTTGTGGTTGTTTTGTGTCTCTTTGTGGTTGTTTTGTGTCTCCTTGTGGTTGTTTTGTGTTTCTTTGTGGTTGATTTGTGTTTCCTTGTGGTTGTTTTGTGTCTCATTGTAGTTTTGTGTCTCTTTGTGGCTGTTTTGTACCTCTTTGTAGTTTTGTGTGTCTCTTTGTGGTTGTTTTGTGGCCGTGCGTGGTTTTGAATCTTGAGTCTCTTTCATTCTGCAGGTAAAGCAGAACTCTCAGGTTATTTTGTTTGTTGATCTTCAGTAATGAGTTCATCCAGGGGCTGAAGATAAACTGTCTGATTCCTCTGTGCAGACATGAACCTGAACACTGGAGAACACTGTATCACAGTGTTACATGTTATAATAGGAAACCATGATACAGAGTGTGACCTCCAGGTTCTGAGCTGTCAGCTGTAGTTACTCGATCAGAGTCACGTTGAGAGTCTCTCTGGTCTCCTGCAGACTTGGTGTCCACCCCGCTTTGATCGCCGCCATCATCTCCAGACAGTCTCAGGCTGGAACCTCCCTGAGACCCGACGGCTACGGAAAGAGCGACCACAACTGCTTCGGCCTCATGCAGGTGTGAGTGAGTGAGTGAGTGAGTGAGCTGTTTAAAGGAGGCGGGGCTCTGTGGAGGTGAGACAGTGTTTACGTCCTATACCGCCTGTCAGATGTTTCCTTATGTTGTCCCTTTGCTGCAGATCAATAAGCATTACCACGCAGTGAAAGGAAACGCGTTCAGTGTGGATCACGTGGATCAGGGAGTCACCTACTTCATCCAGCTCATAAAGACCATGCAGAGGACGAAGCCGGACTGGAGCAAAGAGCAGCAGCTCAAAGGTGAAGACATGACGTTGTCTCTTCTAAAACTCATTAACACGTTAAATAAATGGTTAAATAACGGTCCATTGAGTCCTGTGATGGCCATAGGTTGGTTTGATCGATGAGCTGCAACGTGTTGATGTTCTCGTGTATGTGTGTGTGTGTGTGTGTGTGTGTGTGTGTGTGTGTGTGTGCGTGTGCTTTAGGTGCGTTGGCGTGTTACATCTCAGGTGAGGAGCGAGTCATCCCTCTGTCATATGACGAGGTGGACAGTGTGACGCCATACGGAGACTTCGCCAACGATGTGGTTGCCAGAGCGCAGTGGTTCTTCCACAACGGTTTCTGAGTGTGAGAACACTTCCTGTTTCTTCTTGGTGTTTAAGGAGCGTTTCTTCCTTCAGACTCACCTGCAGCTCGTACGCATTGCTTGTGTTAGGTTTCAGACTGTCATCCACCTGAACGAGTCTGAGCTCAGTTTTACTTTGATGTTACATTTACAGTGTTTAAGACACCGACAGTGTTTATGTTTACAAGTGGTTTTAAATGTTTAAATGTAGTTTGCACCTCTGAACTGTTTTTGTGTCTGCCCCGCTGATAGCTGAGGCTGATTTGTGCGTCCATCTGTCCGTCCCATTCTCATGACCGTGATAACTTCAAGAATGCCATGGGGGAATTTCTATAAATTTGGCACAAACATTCACTTGGACTCTGATGAACTGGTTAGATTCTGGTGGTCAAAGGTCAACAGTCAAGGTCACAGTGACGTCAATCTGGAAATCCATCGGTAAAAAAAAATGAAAATAAAAATAAAATAAATTAATATTTTTTTTCTTCCTTTACCTCTGGAGGCACAGCCCGGAGTATTTCGACTGACCGGAAGAGCAGGGGCCTCACGCCCTTCACTTCCAGCGGTGCCCCCGGGGAATCGCCGTGTTTACAAATACTTCGGGTAGAAAACCAGCAGAGTTTAGCTATATATCACATTTTTCACGTCACTATATCACCATGTAGACTAATCTGATGTTTGTTAAGTCTATAAACACAATGACTGAACAAACGTTACTATTTCTGTGTGCACGTAATTGATATGGTTATCGTAAATTAGCTCGGCTAACCGTTAGCTGTTAACGTTAGCTGTTAGCATGATCTATAACCATAGACTATAAAAATAAGGTAATAACTCAATAAACGGTCCGTGATTAAAATATTTTTGCAGCGAATATCTTAGTTACAACATGATTGAGCTAGCAAAGCAGTTTTGTGTTGCTATGTGTGGTATTTATTCAGTTACGGGAAATCACGATGTCTAGAAAGTAGGGCTGCAACTAACGACTATTTTAATAGTCGACTAGTCGCCGGCTATTGAAACGATTAGTCGACTAATCGGATAATTATTAAATTTTTCTTAAATTTAGCATGAGGTTGCTTTAATTATGTGGCAAATGATAATAAACACAAGAAAGATGGGTACTTCAATGAAAAATGCATCTTTTATTCAACTTTGCTGCTGATAGGCCGGTTCATACAAAAAGTAAATAAAAATGTCCTATCTAAAACCAATTAGGCACAGTGCTCGGTCAGTATAGACATAAATCCATAAATAAATAAACCTCTGTCCATTTTTTAAGGACAGGCAAATGTGTTTTATAAAAAATAAATAATAAATTAAAATCAAGTAAACATTTTTTCCTGTAAACCAAGGGCAGGCACATTAGCAGCAGTAAAACAGTAAACAAAACAAATAT